ACAGAGCACAAAAGCTCTTTGTTGTTGGCAGCGCTGCAGCGTTTGTGTGTTAATGACCTAACAACGCAGTAAAGTCAAAGAAAAGCAAATGCAAACACAAAAACAGAGTCAAAGAAATGCAAAGCTAAATGGGGGAAAAAGCAGAAAAGCAGCAAGCAACAGCAAGCGCATACGACTTGAGAAAAAAGGCGGGAAGTCAGCCAACAGAGCGGCGCGCAGATGGCAAACAAAACGAGGAAGGCGAGCTGAGAAAATGAAAAACACATGAATGCAAAGTGCAAAATGAGGAAAGAGAAAATAAATTTGTATTAACAATAAGCAGGCGAACAATTGTAACGGCAGCAGCAGCAGCAGCAGCAGCAGCAGCAGTCGCAGCTTTTGTAGGCAATTTGTGCAGCTTCAGTATACTTACTTCAGTAGTATTTATCGTTTTTTTTTTTGGACTGTGTGCTTTTTGGGGCAAGAGATGGGCGGTGATTGCGGTCGCATCAGTGTGCACAGTCAGAGTTCGCTTTAATGCAGTTTGCCAATAAAAATTTTAAATGTTGTGCAAATGTGCTAAATATTATGTGGCGCGTGGTGTCTGTTTTTTTTTCTTGTGAATTTCTCTGTTTTATTTTTGTGTTTTAAGTTTCTGCTAGGACTTTATACTAAAATTTTCAATTTAGTTTTTATTACTGTTACTGTGTTTGTTAGGAATCAAAAGTAGTATGTGGGCTACCCCACGAAGTTCGCTTCTTAAGTCTTTTGTTTACACTCAATTCAGATAACCAGATACGGCCCGCGACAAAACGATAGCACCTCAAAATGTTCTCTAGTCTTGACTCCATATTTTTCTCTTTTGTTTGTTTAATGTTCTTTAATTCTACTACCCTACTTATATGTAGTATTTTTTGTATCTAAATGTGAAAGTTTGCGAGTGCGTGAGTGTGTGAATATGTTTGTTGCTCTTTCACGCTAAATCAACTGAACGTATTTCAATGAAATTTGGCACCCAGATAGTTATTATGACATGTATTAACATAAGCATATCTTTAGAACACAGATGCCGGCCTTTTCAAAAGTGAAAATTAACTAAAGATTAAATATAATATTGCAACATTGAGGGTGTCAAACGAAAGTCATTCTAAAACGATTTACTTATTTCGAAGTAAACTTGAAGGAGGTTGCCACCTATTCAGAATATAGAAATCACTTTAGAAAGTTAAATTAAATATTTTTACCAGTGTTCCAAGCGAGAAGCTTAAGAAAGCTTTATTTTGAAATTGGGTTTGCAGAGGGTTGCCACCTAAAAAATCTCTATTCCGAAAACATTTTTTCAAAGCGTTGCCACCTATTTAGAAATAAAAAATCACCTAAATTAAGAAGCTTAATGATATATTTTAATATGGATATCAAACCAGAGAATTTCAAGAAAGGTATATTTCTGAATTATTTTTGGCGAAGGAATTTTTGGTTAGGAATCCAAAATTAATTCAATTTACAAGTTAAATGAAATATTTGATACGGTAATCAAATGTGCCAGGGGTCTAAGAAACCTTCATTTCGAAAGCACTGTTTCAAAGGGTTGCCACCTATTTAGTAATTAAAAATCAGCTAAACTAACAATCCAAATGATATATTTTAATATGGATGTCAAACGAGGAAAATATATTTCAAAAATATTTTTGGCGAAGGTTGCCACTGAATTAGAAATTCAAAATTAATTTAATTCACAAGTTAATTGAAATATGTACTTTGATATGGTTTAAGAATGGTTTATTTCAAAAATATTTTTGGAAACGGTTGCCGGCTCTTTATTGCACTAAAATGTAATAGGCACTGTACTGCATACCAATTTTTTTCTAGAAATTGTAATTAAAAATCTTGGAATTCGGTTGAAACTTTGTTGAATTGTTAAAATTTTGAAATCTGGAATTTTATGGCTTTTGCTACATAATCTATGCTATCTTTTGTCGCGGGCTGTAGCTTTTAGGTAAATAGTTAATTAGTAGTCTACAATAGAACTACGGACCCTGCGATCTAAAAGGATCTTTGGTATCTTTGAAGGCCGTAGATACCTACCTCATTGCTGTAAACCTACCATAGAGCTGAACAATTGGTAAGGTTGTTGGGAATAACATTATAAATGAAATATGAAAAGTCTGCCAAATAATTTATTCATGGTCAAAGACACATAAATTGGTGAATAACTCAGTGAGAGGCGCGACTAGTATGTTTGCATGTATGTATTTATAAAAACAAAAAAAATATTTATCTGGCCGAAAAGTAGGTGGGCAGCCACTGTGGCCAATGGGAATCATCTATTACCACCTCGGCATGGTTGTAAGCTAAAGAAATTCCCCACATATTGAAAAAAATGAATTAAAAAATGTAAACATTTGATTTTTTTAAATATCTTTTTACGACCTAATCTTTAATACTGTTGGCACGGGCTTCAGAAAGGTTTTTCGGGAAAAAGAGAAAAAATACGGGTCTCATGAAATTCAATGTATAGATTATGACCTCAAAGCTTGAAATAAATCGAAGGCAGAATTTTTTGCTCGTCGAATCCGTATGGAATGGGCCATTTATCTCCCTCTTCATCTTCATCTTCATCTTAATCTTAATCTTAATCTTCATCTTCATCTTCATCTTCATCTTCATCTTCATCTTCATCTTCATCTTCATCATCTTCATCTTCATCTTCATCTTCATCTTCATCTTCATCCTCATCTTCATCTTCATCTTCATCTTCATCTTCCTCTTCATCTTCGTCTTCATCTTCATCTTCATCTTTGTCTTTATCTTAACCGTAACTTCAACTTTAATCTTTATCTCAACTTTAACTTTATCTTATGATGTTTTCGCTTCTAAAAAAAATTTTGCCTTTTCATTGCCTGGTGCTTAGTGTTTGTGCAGTAGAGGGCAATGAGGAGGTGGCATTTTTCGGTAGAAACGAAAACGCCATTACATTTCAATGAATTTGCAGCTATCAATTATTACACACACTTGCATGCCATTCTAATTTGCCTTAATTTTTGTTTAACTATTTTTCCTCATTCAGTCGTTCGCTATAACCGACCTATCCTAAAACAAATTAAATCGTTATTTATTAATGACATTCATACATTTGTCACGGTTGTGTGTGCACGCGAACAGTCATTGCACGATTACTTGGCAATTCATCATTTCGCTATGGCAGTCGACGTGTGCTGTGCTAATTTTAGTAGCCAGCTCATTTGTTTTTATATTATTACTAATACATATTGATTGCACCGTAAATAAAACTAAATATACGAGCCAGATATTATTGATATATGTAATTAGTTTACACTTTTTTTATCTTGCTTGGCAATATTTATGTATGTTAATTTATATGAAAAATAATCACGAGACTGCATTTAAAAGCGAGCTGTAAAATTTGACTGAAATGGGAATTTGAAATGACTTGCATCCGTTTAACAAGTACATGTGGCATATTGCTGCATTAAAAAGTGTTACGATTATTAACAAGCAAAATAGATTTTTTAAATTTTATTTTTGAAAACTTACTAGATACATTTGCGAGCATTCGAGTAATTTGTTTACCAGAGAGGGTAGTATTTAGTACAAATTGTCCCAAACGAGTTAAGCAGCCACTGTATGTTGTTTACTGCCTTGTTGATTTTGGCCATTTAGCTGTCCCAATTTTTGTATCGCAAAAATTCTTGTGTGAATTTTTTTTAGTACATTTGGTATATGTCTTTGCTAAGCAGCCGCGATGCAAACTTCGGCCTCGTTGGCACTCAAACTGTTTTGTTGAAGTCAGTAGTGCTTTGCAAACTGTAGCGTAAAACAATTGCGATACCATGTTTTAGAGCCAGGCAATTAAATAAATAATACTTCATACATTCATAAATACATACATATGTATCTACAGTTTTACTAGAATAATAGGAGTGAGATATTTTGTTTTAGTTAGTGTTTATAAATTTTTCCAAAAAATACATATAAACATTCGACAATTACCACCAAAATTTCAAATTAAATTTTAATAAGTGTTTGTAGTTTCTAAAAAAAATAGTAGTTAGGTTTTCACTTGTTTTTGTTGACGATACCAGGCATTTTCTTCCATATAAAATTGTCGTACATACCTTTTGTAACTAAAAAAATACTAAAAAAAAAATGACAAAAATTAACGGTGTTTTGTAGTCACTTGACACTTAATAAAATTGAAGGGCTATAAAATTGCAAACCTAATTTTTTTTTTTTAAATTCTGATACCAAGTTTGTAGTTTTGGTGAAAATTTGTTGAATTTTTTTAAATGTATGCACAAAGTTTGAATCTGGTTTTTATGTACATATAGCAGGGAGCAGAAATGAGTATACGGTGATTTTTGTTAAAAATTGGTAAGATTTTTAAACCAAATTTTTTTTTTCCATAAAAAAATGGTTCATGGTTTTCATTCAAATTTCAAAATTTGAATGTATTTTTTTTTTGAGTATGCAGTGTGGTACCCATTGAATTTTTGTATATAAAGTGCAAAATTGCGTTGATTTTTTTGGTGACGTATTTTTGCACTTTTTTTTCCATAGAAGCATGAATTTCTTATCGAGAAAATGCGCAAAACCGTTTGCAAAGAAAATTAAACAAAAAAGAAAACAACGCCAGTTTTTATAAATTGCACTTGTTATATGAGAAAAAATCGGAATAAAAAGTTAAAATTTTAATGAAAATTTGTTAAATTTTTCTAAGCTCTGTATAAAGTTTGAAAGTTTAATTTATATAACAAAAAAGTTTTAACTTTAAAAACCTAGCAAATATTTCACAAAAATTACCGTGTTTTCATTTCTGCGCCCCACTGTATATGGTTTTAATTAGAAATTAATTCACATTAAATAAACAAAAGAAAACTAATCTAAATATCGCACTCCTATTATGTTGTGGACAACTGTTAAAAATACAATAATTTCATACTTTTTATTGCCTTTAAAATTTGCTTTAATTTTATTCCATTACGTATATTTTTTCTTTGTAGTCGCACACCTGGCTCCCGTCAGCCCTCACCAGCTGAAGAAACGCTGCCACGTCCACCCACACTACTCGATCCCAGCCAACATGGTGGCTTTCCAACGCATCCATTCAATCATATGCTCAATTCCATGGATCATCAAGGCGGTGGTCCTGGCACACAAATGAATTCGTATCCACCACATCAAATGCAAATGGGTCAACTGCAACCGCCCGTAATGAATGGTGTCGGTGGCATGCAAATGGCACAGGTAGGCATCATACACACATAAAATACAAAATAATTTGAATAATAAATTTCTTACACAAATTACATATAATTTTTGCTATCTTGCAGAGCCCCATGATGAATCATCAGACACAAGGACCAAATCAAATTGAATCTCCAGGAAATTTATTGCAGCAACAACCGCCTAATTTTGATGTACAGGTGAGTGTGGATGCTTTGTTGTGTTGATTTTAGTGAATTAAACACGTTAGCATAGTTTACATATATAAACGGCCCTCAGTTCTTGAACGACGGGTCGAGAAATTGGGGCTGTCAAGCGTGTTTTGTGGGCATTCGTCCTAGTGTTGTGAAGTATCGAGTTCTTTGGTATCGATACTTTTAAGTATTGGGTATTTTTACATACATACTTTAAATACTTTCTTTAAATACACATATTGTGGGTAACATTTCAATGCTTAGTGTAGATATCTCCTTATTTAAATTAATATATTAATACCAAATTACGTCAAATGAATGGCTAACGGTACTGGGTACAAATATTATACTTGAAAACTATTGAAACTTGAACTCAGTACTTTAAAGTACGTTGAATCCTGAGTACATGTATCAGAGTGATGATTTGAACAGAGTGTATTTGAGTATTGAGTACTTTCAAGCTCTCGGTAGTTTCGAGTCTTTTTGTGATTACTGAGTACTTTGGAGTGCTACCGAGTACTTTGGAGTGCTACTGAGTACTTTGGAGTACTACTAAGTACTTTAAAAAATCGCAAATCCTTTTGAAAATCGAGTTCTGAGTACTTTTGGTATCGATACTGCCCAATACTATTTGGAACAGGGTATTTTTGAGTACTTTTGAGTTCTTTTAAGTTCTGAGTTAGCTTCGCGTTCTGTTGTGAGTTCTGATTACTATGGACTACTCAGTATCGATACTTTTAAAAATCGGGTACTGTCGATCCTTTTTAGAATCGGGTTCTGAGTACTTTTGGTATTATCACTGCCCAGCACTAGCTCATCCACTTGGCATTGTATCTTCCGCAATATTTTCAGCAGATGATTTTTGTATTCAGAGCTCTTTTTTTCTTATTATCTCACAAATTTCCGTTTCCATGCAGCGTCTCGGATAATTTCAGGGTTAGATTGAATTTAATGCTTCTAAGGGCAAACTTTTTTCAGATCTGTATGTGCTATATTTAAGCTCGGCTAACATTTTTTTTTTTTTGAAATTTTGTTGGCCTGTGTTATAGTTGAATAAATTTAACCGCTGGGCGAACACTGGTATATTGAAGTACATATGTAATTACCGCTAAGTGGTTGTAGGCTTAGTGTGGGTTTTAAAGTGGCAGCTTGTTACCAAGATGGCATAGCATTTATAACGAACTAACCAATTAGAAGAAAAACCGCGATAACCTCTGGATTTCGACTTCATATTCGGATTCAGTAATCCAAATTCCTGACTCCGAAAAAAATTGCTAACATTGCTCACCAAAAATAGTTTCCCTAATACCACGTCTAGTTAATCCTTAGCGATTTTAAGTGGCTCTGTGCATTCCTGTCGCCACAATTCAGAAGTACACTTGTTTTTCCTCTTCTAACCACCAAATCCCTACTACAAATATACCCAAATAGCCTGCTTATAGGCGGAAATTTAAATTAAATTCCTCCTAGTGGAAAATTTTGTACTCTAATCGTACAATCTTACACATAGTTTTTGCAATTTACCTCAAAATTTATACCTACTAAACCGCTGTGTCAACCACTGACTTGGCTCTCCCATCACTTTAGTGGCTTAGCGATGTAGGCGTTTATGTAAATGTCCATGTTCGTATATTTGCTTATCTGTGTATATGCTAAACGCTGCCTTCGATGTCCTCCAAAATTTACAGTCTAAATGACACAACCTTAATGCAGCAACCAGTCAGCCAACTTTACTACTACCTTTCATACTTGTTTAAACTGGATAGCAACCATAGCATTTGGCTTTTCGGCCTACCACTTGCCTAACTATTTACAATGTATTTAGCATAAAAGGTGGCTTGTGTGTGTGTGTGTGTGTGAGTGTGCCTGCTATGAGCGCCCACTAGTTCGCTGTCCATTACAGCCCATTGACTATTTCTTCGAAAATGTACATTCGATTTCCGGTTTACAAATTTTGTAGTTCGCATTGCAATTGCACTTATGACTCCCTGTGCGCACGCCGGCAGGGAGGGCAGCTCATTTATTGGTCAAGCTTTTAGAACTTTGCAACTCCTAAATCCAGTGGACACTATGTCCAGCTGCATATTTTGTATCTACTTACATTTGAATCTCTATGTAGGTGTTCAAACGTTGCCTTCGATTTGCCGTCATTAGCAACTAAGCACACTAACACATACAGTTAGCCAGTTGTTTTGTGCTGCTGTTTGTTTGACATTGGACTGCTTGTATGCTTGTCGTCGATTCGTTTGCTTCATTGCTGCTGACATTCATTTTGTTTAGATATGTATATGTATATGTATGTATTCCCTTTATTGCATTAGCCCATCAGGTTGCAGTTGGCTCCTGTCTATTCCGCGCTCTCGACTCCTAGTGAGTGCGCTGTGTGAACCCACTATATTTTCACCCTACTTCCCCTTGCTTGCTTAGCCCATTTGTATGTTGCTTGGCACAATTTATTGGCAAAGTAAATCGGATTTATTAGCCGCAAAATTGCTTTTCAATGCTTTTAAGCTTTCCTTTTTATTTAATACGGCTTCAAATGCTATGCACTCATCCATTTTCCTCATCACTTTCGCACTTCGCATGTCCTTAAACATTTGGTTGGCACTGTTTGTTAGTCGTCTTTTATTCCTTTCTCATTTGTCCTTTTTATATGCTTCCTGACTATGCATTTTTTGTGCATTTGCCAAATTTTGGCTATTTGTTATGTATGGATTTCTTTCTGTCTCCATTGCAGTGGTGCTTTTCCGCCTGTCTCCATTGCCTTTTCCGGTTTCTCCTGCCGCTTTGTCTCACACCCAAATTGAAAATCAATATTTTGATTTCGATATGTAGCACTCTGCCCAGTAATTTTGCCCAATTGTCTGCTGAACCAAGTGGATTCCCTATTACGTACATATTTGTATGGCTGCGATGTGATCTTGGCACCGTAGCGCCTTGCTGCCTGTCGGCTTGCAGTTTTTTGTTTACTGCCTTCTTTTACTTTTTTTTTTTTAAACTCTTGTTGGCTTTTGATTTTTACGGTCTATGTATTGTGGCGCAAATTTTGTATAGTTGGCAAACAAATTTCTCAATTTATGCCAATTTGCAAGTGCACTAAGCGTGAAAGTGTTTGGATCTGCCTGCTGGTGAAGCTCACATGTGCCCGCCGCCTATTGGTATGCAACAGTTTGCTGCTTACGCTCAGACGTTCATAAATTTTTGTTTAACAAATGGCTTAGGGACAAATGCAATTTTTCTGATGTTGCCATAAAATGCAGAATTATTTATGTATTAAAATGTGTAGTATCGGTCTTTTGAGTAATCATTGTCTAATGTCATTTAAAATAGTTTCTAATGGGGATTTCATATTTTTTATTTATTAAATAACTAAAAAAAAGGGAGATTTTTCCTTAGCTCAAATGAAGATAAGAAAAAGAGTTTGTGTTGCGAGAACAGTAGGTAACGAGACTAACTGGGCAATTGTCTTTCGACTCACCACAATTTTTCGGACGACAAAATACTTTCGTAATAATTTTCTGGCAGCAGTTCTGGCAACTATGTTAAGACCTCTTTTCTGTCTTTCGAAAGACTACTCGAAAGGTCTGCTGCTGAAACTAAATAAATAAAAAATAATTATAAAAAAAAATTTACTAAGAAAAGAAAAAAAATGTATGTATATATGTATATTAAAAAATATAAAATAAATTAAAAAATTAAAATATGAATGTACCTAAAAGTCGATGGAATTACATAAGTTTATTTCAAAATAAAATAAAAAAATTAGAAGAAAATTACATCAAAAAAGACAAGATAAAAATGAAATGAAATTAAAAAAAAAATGTAACCAATAAAAAGATTAAAATAAAATTTAATTAAAAGTTATAATTAAAAAATATATATGTATATAAAAATGTTTCTCAAAATTAAATGCATTGAAAAACATATTTTCGTTTTCAAAACAATATAATCTAAAAATTCAATAAAGTATTAAAGCCCAAAAAAAAAATAAAAAATAAAAAAGGAAATAAAATAAAAAATAATTAAAAAAAAAAAAAAAAAAAACAAAAAAAGAAAAAAGAAGAAAAAATGTAATAAAAAAAAAAAATCCGCAGCTCGAGGATTCGAACCTCGGATCTCTCGACTGGCACGCCATGTACACGGTCGAGCGGGAGCAAAATTAAACCCATCTCCTTTTGGGACATGCACAAGACTTTCTGTCAAAAGAGCTTTTCACCATTAAAGTTGGCAAGGGAGATTTTTTGTTGTATTATCTTCGTGCCAGAATAAACAAAATCTTTCAAACTATTTTGCCTATCTTAGCCAGAATCGCCTTATAAAACTACCTGTACCAACTCTAGGGACCACTTCATAATCATCGTTCATTTCATTTTGCTAGGTATCTCCTTAAAGTATTATTCATAACTTGCTTTGTTTCGGTTGTCAGGCCATACGGTATAATGCTTAGTGCATTTTATTCTTCTAACCGTTTGGCGCTGTAACTGTATAAGGGATTTTGTCATTCTCTCCGTCGGGGCATGGGTGGAATGCAGTACGCTGTTACAGACGTCGTAACTTCCTCCGCATTGCTTGCCTTGCCTCCTCAGCATTTTGTATTCGCAAGCACCGCAATCAGCCGTGCATATGCATCTTTCCACATTAAGGCTCCGAACATTCCAGGTGAATACTTTCAAATCCATAGTCCTTCGAACGCTTTCCAGGGTCGTCATCAATAGAAAGGGGAACTTCAGAAACTTATTATGTGCTTTAATAAGCTACGGCTTGTGCCATTTGAGAAACGCCTACAAGTGCTTCGCTTCGGTGACGTTGTGTTGCATACTTTTAGGCAGTATGTTCCATAAGTCGCGTAAATAAGCATTGTTGATCTTTGTTTGAGTTGAAATAAACTTATTTCTTCTCTATGCTACAAATCTCTAAAAAAGTTCTAAGAACATAGCGACTAGTTTTAAAAACCATTGTTTGTTCCTTAGGGCAGATAAAAGTTTATCGAAAAACAAAACTGTTAT